TCCACTCCTGGCTCTCTCCCAATAGCACTTAACAGTGCTCTCCTCTCTCCATTAGACTGGGGGCGGGGGGAAGCAGAAGGAAAGAAGAGGGTTCTGGCTGAGGAGGGGGAGGGCCTTTTTGGACCCACATGCTCCGGGGGCTCCCTAGTCTCTCTCTGTCTCTCACAGCCACTTTCCTATATGCATTGTCCAAGGGCACTGCCTACTGACCCTGATTTCTCACCTTAGGTCACTTGGGCATCCACCCCCCTTACTACCCTGAAGCTGCGTTACTGATGTCCTCCTATAACCCCCATGTTGACAATTCCCAAGGTTGCCTCTCAGTTTTCATTTTAGCTTCCGAGTGCCTGTCTACCTACTGCTGGCAACACATAGGGGAGTCAGAATAGAGTGGGGAGAAGAATTGCCTAAAATTCCTCTGCTCAAAGCCTCCATTGACTCTCCAGATGGTCAATATAAAAGCTGACGTCCTTATCGGGGCCTGCAAGGCTCTATAGATTTGACTTATTTTTTTTAGGGGGGGGGTGGACAGTCTTGCTTTGTTGCCAAGGCTAGAGTGAGTGCATTGGCGTCAGGCTAGCTCACAGCAACCTCAAAATCCTGGGCTCAAGCAATCCTGCTGCCTCAGCCTCCCGAGTAGCTGGGACTACAGGCACGCACCACCACGCCCGGCTAATTTTTTCTATATATATTAGTTGGCCAATTAATTTCTTTCTATTTATAGTATAGACGGGGTCTCGCTCTTGCTCAGGCTGGTTTCGAACTCCTGACCTCGAGCAATCCGCCCGCCTCAGCCTCCAAGAGTGCTAGGATTACAGGTGTGAGCCACCCCGTCCGACCTAGATTTGCCTCTTGTTAATAAGAAACAAAAAGCTCTAGCATTTCTGCACTTCTTTCAAGCAGAGGCACTGGCTGCCTTGGTTTTGACTATCTTTTTTGAGGATGTTTATATAAAACAGCCTTGGAAGACAGAGCCTCTCTCTGAGGCAGGGGACAGGGGGCAGGTTTGTGTACTGTCCAGTATGATGGTGTGTCCCTCTGGGTCAAAGTTCAGGCAGGTTTACTTGCAGCCATGAGTGAATGATTTGGGTTCCCTGAGCACTAGGTTCCTCACCTGTGATGCAAACCCACCGTTTGGGCAGGGTCCATCCAGGCTCCTCTGTGTCATTCCATTGTACTTGGAGGGGAGGAGGGAGGAGGGGGCAAGTGGAAATGACAAAAGCAGGAAGTTCCTGCTGCTTGCTATGCTTGAGGTAGTAAAATCTTTTGTCTTTGACACAGAAATCCCGAAAGACTTTAGAGGTTAATTGGTTAACTTGTGAGTTAGGTAAAACCTTAGAATCTCAGAAGTTCCTAATCACACACACCTCTCTCACTGCATCTCCTACTACTACTGCCTTTGCTCATCTTGCCTGGTCTTGCTGGCCTCCCAGATGTTCCTGGAACCTGCCAGGTACACTCCTGCCTTAGGGCCTCTGCTGTTAGCTTGGAACATTCTACCCTGACGGTCACATGATTTCGGGTCCCCATCCAAATAGCACCTTTGCAGGTCTTCCTCGACTTCTTTAAAACAGCCTTGCCACGAATATGCTGGTGAACTTTTGCCAAACTGATTGGTGAAAATGATATTTTAGTTAAGTTTTAAATTTATCTTTATTTTTTGTATCTACTTCTGACAATATAGATATAACTATATAGAGATATCTAGACATAGAAATAGGTCTATATATTTTCTGCATCTACATTTTCTATATTTTTATATATTTTTCTATATACGGAATTTCTACATCCATATATTCTACAGTATATATATTTCTATTATTTTACTATACTTAAGAGCCACTTATATTTCCTTTTCTATTAATTATCTATTCCTATCTTTGCCTATTTTTCTATTGTTGTTAGTCTTTTTCATATTTACTTTTCACTTGCCTATGATGTGATTAATTCTCTTTTCAACTTGTTTTGTCTTTTGAGTTTGCTTGTGTTGTCATCATTGTTGTAGTTTTGCCATGGAAGTTTTTTATCTTTATGTAGTTGAATTTGTCAATCTTCTCTTTTATGGCTTCTAGTTTTCAGTCAGAGCCAGAAAAGTCTTCCCTATTCCAAGATTATAAGAAATCTGAATCCATGCTTTCTTCTATTTTTCTAGTACTTTTATGGTGTCATTTCAAAATATACAAATCTTTGAATCACTTGGAACTTATTTGGTGCAGCACATCAGTTATGGATTCAATTTCTAAGTTTTTTTGACTACTCAATTATCTCAACCCCTTTTATTATTTATTTAAAAGCACATAATAGAACCATCTATTGAAAATGTACTCTGGAAAAACTACTTTACATGCACAACAATGCCTGCTTCACCTGTTTAACAGGTGGGTATAAGGTGGTCTGGGGCATTTGTCAACTTGCTCAAGGCTGCCCAGTTGGTAGGTAGAGTTGCAGCTTTTCTGAGACTCTGCCTGTGTGCTCTCTCCTTCCTCCTGCAAGCTCCTTCCTTGTAATTTGGACACTCCAACCTTGTGCAACGAGGCTCCCACCAGAGCCAGTGATCTAATGCTTTAGTTTGCACTGGGGCTCCAGAATTCACACATTGGGGTTCCGAGTCCCATAAACACAGCCCATGTTTATCAAAAGCTGGCAAGAAGCCTCAGAACATACCATGGCCCTTTTCTATGTTTGGATGGGATTCAAATTCAATGCCCAAGATCCCAGCATGAAAGGAGGGGAGAAGGTGGTGAGCTTGCCCACCCAGTCCCCCAAGTATTGCTCGAGTGCCAGATGCCACTTTAGTTTTATTTCTGCAAGTACTTGGGTCTATTTCTGTGCTTTATTCTGTCTCATTGGTTTCTTTGGTCTTTTGTGCACCAGTTTTAATTACTGGGGCTGTAGAATATGTTTTCATATTTGACAGCGCCAGATCCCCTCTCCTTGTTCTTTTTCAGAGCCTGTTTCCATATGAATTTTAGAAACAAATAGGGTAGTTCAAACACACACAAATTGTTCCCTGGTAAACTGCTAAACTTAAGTAAATGTTTCTCTGTGTTCTGTGAGCCATTCTAGCAAATGATTGAAACTGATTAGGCAGTGGTGTGAACCTCCAATTTATAGCTGGTCAGTCAGGAGCACAGGTGCCACAAGCACAGGGCTTGTGATTGGCATCCAACGTGAAAGGAAGTTTTGTGGGACTGAGCCCTTACCCTGCAGGAACTGCTCTAACTCTAGTTTATGTCAGAATTGAGTTAAATTGTAGGACACGCAACTTGTGTTGGACAATGGGTCAATGTGGAACACCCTCTCCTCCCATTCTGGTGACCAGAAATGTTTTGTGTTGAGAGTATAATAGGAGAAAACAGTCAGTTTTCCTTGTGAATAGGAGACCTCTTTGGAACTGGAATGAATGATGTGATGTGTCGCCCAGATCCCTTTTCAGGAATAAAACCTTATTCTTTCCAGATGCCAGGAGTGCTGACTGACAACCCTCAGCTGTCAGCCCTCTTTGGAATTGCCTTGCCCTTGGTCACACCCCCTTCTTGTAGCACTCTGTATCCAAGGACTTATCAAACATAAAGGTCATCCCCTTCACCCCAACAAGGGCATCTATGAAGGTCCATCTCTCAGCTTCAGAGTTCAGCTGAGGTTTTCTTTGCGACTTCATCACAGCCTAACTTATCCTCACTACACTTACAACCCTTCCCTTCCACAGGCATTTATGCCAAGAGCACTCATTAATACCCTCTGCACAGGGGTATTAGGGTCCAGGGCCCCCCAGTGGATGCCTGAAACCATGGATAGTACTAAACCCTCTATATACCATGTTTTTTCCTATATACACATTCCTATGATAAAATTTCACTTATAAATTAGGTACAGTAAGAGATTAATAGTAACTAGTAATAAAAAAGAACAATTACAATATACTGTAATAAGTTATGTGAATGTGGTAAAAAATCCACACACAACCTATTAATCCTATTAGTACTTTTAGTGGAAACACGTTAAATTTATAATTTTATTTTATTTTGTTTTGTTTTTTTTAGAGACAGTATCTTGCTCTATCACCCAGGCTGGAGTGCAGTGATGTGATCAAAGCTCACTGTAACCTTGAACTTCTGGGCACAAGACATCTTCTCCTCATGGCCTCCCCAAGAGCTGGGATTGCAGGCATAAGCCACCGCGCCTGGCCTATATCTATAATTTTAAAGGAGAATCGAGATCTTCACGATATTGAGTCTTCCTATTTAAAAACACCATCTATCTTTCAGTGTGACTGTTTTCTGTAAAACGGGAGTAATAATAATACCAATCTCATACGGCTGTCCTCAGAACTGAGTGGGAAAAGGCATGCGAAGTACAGTGGGGGCCAGCATGTTGCTTTGCCACTGAGCTGTATGAACTTGGGCTTGGTTACTGGACTACCTTGAACTTCGGTTCCCTCATTTGTAAAATGGAGATAACAGTATCTGCTCCACAGGACTGTAAAGAGGGTTAAATGAAACAAAGCGTGTAAAACACCCAGTGCACTGCCTGAACAGAAGCGCACAATAAATAACAGTTGTTTTTCTAAAAGACAGGCCACCCCCCAGGGCAGGCAAAATGTGACTTAAAGGGAAAGCTTGGTGGGCCGCACCTTGGGTGGGCCCCAGGGTCAGCTCTTCTTTCCCAGGACCTACCCAACCGTCGGCCGCCCCTCCAGACTTTCGCGGCGCGCCTAGGGGACGCAGGAGAGGCGACGCCACGAGCCGAAAGCCCGAGGCAGCCACGGCACGCCAGGCCCCCGCCCCTCCCGCTAGGCCCCGGCACTGCCACGTCTCGCGCGGCCTGCTCCCCCTCCAGGAGTGGGCGGGGCCAAAGCAGGGCCCGCCCCCGGGCGCGCTTCGTCACGCCCTATGCCCGCCTCTCTGCAGCTCGAGTCGCTGGTAGGGTGGCACCAGGCAGAGCGGCGTGACGTTACGAAGGGGCGGGGAGGGGCAAGCACGCGCCCGGAAGTCTCGGGGGAGGAGGCGTGACGTACATCCGGCGAGTAGCTGGCGGTCCCGGTGCTGCTGGTCTGTGTGCCGTGAGGGAGGGTCTTAGCTGCCCGCCGCCGGAGGAGCCCCTCGGGCCGTGAGTTAGGGGGCAGCGTCAGGGGAGGGAGCCAGGGCCAGAGGGGCTGGGGCGGACGGTGGGGCAGTCGGGGCGGAGGCCGCCCTGGCGGGGTTGGGGAGGGAAGTGACACGCAGGCGGTTCTGTGGGGCCGCCGGGCTGGTTCTGGGCGGGGACGGGCCGACTCGGCCCGGTCTCCTCCATACCCTGCTGGCCTCTGGGGTATAGGGTCCACCTGCGTTCCGCTTGGGGGTCTTGCTGTTGCTGAGCCGGATAGCAGTTTTCTTGTCTGTACTTTGCGCTCCGATTTACGAAAGGGCTTCACGTCCTCTGTCTTGTATGAGCCTCTCAGCCTTCGGGTCGAAGCCCTTGATTATCCTTATTTTACAGGCCCAGGGACTGAGGCTCGCCAAGGCCCCGCAGCTGGCAAGTGTGAGCACTGGAACCAGGTGTACGGGCTCCTAGTCCAGGGCTCCCCCCACTTCAGCTCTCGGATATCATCTCCTGTCCTGGGTCAAACCCCGAATTTTCTCCTTCCACCTGACTTTCCTTGTCTGTGCATGGAAAAATTCCCCATGTGCATTTGAATTAAATTAGTGTTTTCTTCACGTTTCTAGCCGAGGGGTTGGGGGCACATTTGTGATGCTCGGCACTAAATTGTCTCTGTTAGTATTCTTCTTTGCTCTTTTTTTCCCCCTTATCCTGAGTCCATCTGCTTTGATTGCGAAAGGGGAGTGAGAGATATTTGCTATTGGGCTGACCTTTGACATTTACCCCGCAGCTAAGGATACCAGCTAAGGGTACCAGCTGCCTGGTACCCATATCTGTATGGAATGGTGTTTTAAAGTTGCTATGAGTACGTATAAGAAGTAATATGTAAATTTTTAATTGGCTGATGGTCAGTTTGGTGCTCTTCTTTTCTATTTGTTTGAATCAGTCCTGAAATGTGCAAAGTTTCATTTTTGGGTACATTAGTGGTGTTTTTATTGATAGCTTACAACCCTTAAATTTTAGAGTTTTCTAACTTGCTTTAAGGTGGTAGAGTGAATCAAGAATAGAAAATAAGTACAATGCTAGTTATTAAAATACCATCCAAAAGGTGCGATGAATTATAAGGAAGAAAACTTCGAAAGATTATCATCTGTGTAGTCAGTGGGTTAAGGAAGTTTTATATTTTTTAATCAATTTTGTGATTTGGAGTTGAGTTTTGTATGCTTTTAACAGAAGAGCGTAGACTTTGGTGTTAAAAGCTGAGGGTTTAAGTCCTGGCACTGTTAGTTTTTCAGCTGAGCAATCTTGGGCAAGACAGCTAACCTAGGAGTGTCAGCATCTTCCTTCATCTTGTTAAATGAGGCTAAATGATCCCTGCCTGGTAGAGTTGGTGTGAGGATGAAATGAGATGTATGTGTAGGTACTGTATAAATTGTAACAATACTGATTAGTTGATATTAAGATCTCAAGGAGAGAGAAGCCATCAAGGCCATTTCTTTAACTTTGGGTAGTAGTACAACCCAGCTCTTTGGGTTTAGTAAGGGTTATTATTATTATTTTTTAACATACCTGAAAAATTTCTTCAATTGCTCCCCATAGACCATTTTGGAGGGATGAATTGTATGGCTTTTAAAACAGGGATGTCATGGGAAAATAAATTGGAAAGTTAAAGTAGTTCTATTGCCATGAAAAATTTGTTAGTTTGGGGTTTTCCCTTTGTCACGTTTGCAGAATTCACCTAATTGGGAATTCTTTTAAAGTGATGTAAAATTTTTAAAAAGAGTCTATCAAGTATCTGCAAACCAGTGTAGTAGGAATGTATATAGACATATTGGGTTGTAGAGAGTGATGAGAGTGGGAGTGACCCTAATGAGGGGTGCTCTGTAAAGGTGAGCTGCACTTCTCCAAGTGGTAGATTGAGAAAAGGAGGGAAGGATGTCTGGTTTGGGGGAGGTGCAGGGGAAAGGTGCATTGTTCTTTTACTTAACTATAGTAAATGGGAGCTTAAGTATGGAACTTTCTAAGTATGTTTAAGTTATAGAACTATTTAAAGTACAGGTTAAGTTTCCAGACAAAACTGTTATTTAACGTGTTCAATGTGGTCTTTCTGCCAAAATGTATTTGAATGTTACTGAAAAGGGCAAAAAACAAACCACCACCACAAAAACCTCATTTAGTATCTTTTTGTAAAAGTTTAGTCTGTACTTCCATCCAAACTCCCAAGCCTTACTGGGCTTTCTATGGTAAGAGTCATGAAAAGTAAGCACTAATCAGGCCCTAAATTTATTTATTTATTTATTTATTTATTTATTTATTTATTTATTTTTTTTGAGACAGAGTCTCACTTTGTTGTCCAGGCTAGAGTGAGTGCCGTGGCGTCAGCCTAGCTCACAGCAACCTCAAACTCCTGGGCTCGAGTGATCCTTCTGCCTCAGCCTCCCGGGTAGCTGGGACTACAGGCATGCGCCACCATGCCCGGCTAATTTTTTATATATATATCAGTTGGCCAATTAATTTCTTTCTATTTATAGTAGAGACGGGGTCTCGCTCTTGCTCAGGCTGGTTTTGAACTCCTGACCTTGAGCAATCCGCCCGCCTCGGCCTCCCAAGAGCTAGGATTACAGGCGTGAGCCACAGCGCCCGGCCCCAGGCCCTAAATTTATAGGTCAGGCCATAGGCCTGTTAAAAACCCAGTAATTAGATGAAAACCAAAAAACATACTGTCTCTATTTTTTAGTTTACTCTTCATCAAGCATTCTTTGAATGAAGATAGGTGGATTTTTGTAAGTAACCCTTTTATAGGTTACTGTTCCTGAAAGTCTTGTTTGATTGCAGTTGGTCACATCTGGTATAAACCCTTGTGTTCAGATGTTCTTGCTGATTGAGAGAAGTAAAAGTGGAGATCTTCCCTTTTTCTGCACTAAAATCTGAGATATCAAGGCAAAAATTCAGCATGACCAGGAAATGCTGACTGAGAATCCTTAAGACCTACCAAGGTCTCTAGATCCTCCCCTCTTAACTTCACTCAGAGTTCCTTTTGCTTATTATCAATGTATGTAGACCTTTTAGTTGGTTTGGATCATGGTTAGTTTTGTCTAGGTCTTTGGGAAACAACAGAAGAAATGGTGTTTAATATCAGTACTAATTAAGATATGTACTTGCTTAGGAATCTGCTGCTATATCCTGAACAGGTATTCTTTTTTATAGAAAATTCATATTTGTAAAGCAGGTTGGAGCTTGATTATTCACATTATGAAAAGATTCTCTTCTTATCCCTTCCTGTTTCTCTAAAATAGTGATGTTGTCTCTTTATAAGTAGAGACACACAAGAGAGGTGAAACAAATATTGTTTAAAAGAGATAGCATTGGTAAATGGAACAGGGCAAATTGTGCCAGCCAATCGGATTTTGGGGGACTTTGGATTTTAGAGCTGTTTGCAAGGATAGGTAAATATGCTTTTCGTTTAGGTCAATATGCTTTCAATCTTATTTTCTACGTAGTTCATCTGTATGGCATTTTGATCCAGACTCTTGATGAGATTGATCCACATTATTGATGAGACTGATTTCCTAGAGCTGTTGCTAACTGGTAGACAGCAGTGGTGTATCTCGGGAATGTGAATGAGCAGCTGCCTAGTAGAGGAGTGAGTCCCACAGTGGCAGAAGAAAGTACAGGCATACCTCAGAGATATTGCAAGTTTGGTTCCAGACCACCGCAATAAAGCAAGTATCAAAATAAAGTGAGTCACACAACTACTTTGGATTGTCAACGAATATAAAAGTTATGTTTATACTTTTATGTTTATTAAGTGTGCAATAGCCTTATGTCTAAAAAACAATGTACATACCTTAATTAAAAAATACTTTTTTTGCTAAAAATTGCTAATAATCGTCTGAGCCTTCAGCAAATCATAATGTTTTTGCTGGTGGAGGGTCTTGCCTTCATGTTTATGGCTACTGACTGAGGGTGTTGATTGCTGAAGGTTGGAATGATTATGGCCATTTATTAAAATAAGACAATGAAGTTTGCCATATCAATTGACTCTTCCTTTCACAAAAGATTTCTCTGTAGCATGTGATGTTGTTTGGTAGCATTTTACCCATGTTAGAATTTCTTTCAAAATCAAGACCTGCCTCTGCTTTGTCAGCTAAGTTTATGTAATATTAGAAATCCTTTGTTGTCATTTCAACAGTATTCACATCATCTTCATCAGGAGATTAGATTTCCATCTCAAGAAACCATTTTCTGGGACTTGGATCAGAGTGGCAATAAAAAAAAGAATCTATTTTCTTTGCTCATTTATTCTTTTTTTTAAAAGATAGGATCTTGCTCTGTCATCCAGGTTGGAGTGCATTGGTACAATGATCATAGCTCATTGCAGCCTTGAACTCAGGGCTCAAGCAATCCTGCCACCTCAGCCTCCCAAGTAGATGGAACTATAGGGGTATGCCACTGTGTCTGGCTAATTCTTAGAGATTTTTTTATAGAGATGGGATCTTGCTATGTTGCCCAGACCGATCTTGAACTCCTGGCCTCAAGCATTCCTCATGCCTTAGCTTCTTAGAGTGCTGGGATTACAGGTGTGAGTTACCGCTCCTGTCCTTTTTGGTCATTCATAAGAAGCAACTCCTCATCTGTTCAAGTTTTATTGTGAGAGTGCAGCAATTCAGTCATGTCTTCAGGCTCCTCTTATGTATGTACGTACTTATTTATTTTTTAGGGACAGGATCTCACTCTATTGCCCAGGCTAGAGTACAGTGGCACTATCATAGTTCACTGTATCCTCGAATTCCTGGGCTTAAGGGATCCTCCTGCCTCAGCCTCCTGAGTAGCTGGGACTACAGGCGATGCCACCATGCCTGGCTAATGTTTGTGTTTTTTGTAGAGATGGGGTCTCCTTATTTTGCCCAGGTTGGTCTCAGACTCCTTGCCTCAAGTGATCCTCCCACCTCAACCTCCCAAAGTGCTGGGATTATAGGTGTGAGCCACCTTGCCTGTTTAGGCTCCACTTCTAATTTTAGTTCTCTTGCTGTTTCCACCACATCTGTAGTTACTTCCTCCTCTGGAGTCTTGAACCCCTTAAAGTCATCCACAAGGGTTGGAATCAACTTCTTTCAAACTCCTGTTAATGTTGATATTTTGACTCCTCACATGAATCACAAGTGTTCTTAATGGTGTCTAGAGTGGTGAATCCTTTCCACAGGTTTCCATTTGCTTTGTCCAGATCCATCAGAGGAATCACTGTCTATGGCAGTCATAGCCTTACAAAATGTATTTCTTAAATAATTAGACTTGAAAGTCAAAATGACTCCTTGATCCATGGACTGGAGAATAGATGTTTTTGTTGGCAAGCATGAAAACAATATTCATCTCTTTGTACATTGGCATCAAAACTCTTGGGTGAGTGAGTACATTGTCAATGAGCAGTAATATTTTGAAAGGAATTTTTTTCTGAGCAGTAGGTCTCAAAAGTGGGCTTGAAATATTTAGTAAACTGTGCGGTAAACAGATAGGCTGTAGGAAGAGTAGATTCAGCATAATTCTTAAAGGCCTTAGCATTTTTGAAATGGTCAGTAAGCATTTGCTTCAATTTAAAGTCACCAGCTGCATGAGCCCCTAACAAGAGAGTCAACTTATCCTTTGAAGCTTCGAAGCCAGGCATTGACTTCTCTTCTCTTGTTATGAAAGTTATAGATGACATCTTCTTCCAATAGAAGGCTGTTTTGTCTACCTGAAAATACCCTTGTATTCCATTATCTAAAAGACAGAAAATCTGGGTATCTTTGATGCCCAAATCAATAGATGACATTGGAAACATTAATTCACTTTATCTCCGACTAGCTGGTTTAACTTTTTTTTTCTTTTCTGTTATGCTAAACCTTAAAGGTACAGAATAAATATTAAAACCAATGTGACCTTTCTCAGTAAGTTCAAGGCTGATTGGTCTCTGAGTATTATAGATTGAAAACTATTAGGAAACCAGGAGTTTGTACAGATAGAAGGATTCTAGAGGCTTCCCTGCAGGTTGCAAAATCTGTAAGTTTCAAGATGGAAGGAGTTTATCTTCCTTATTTTGCTTTCTAATGCCTGAAAACATGGGACTGTAAATGTGCCATTGGGGTCAGGGGAATAAGAGGTAACTTCTCTAGAACTATACTGGCATTCAGAAAGCTAATGTTTGCTACTTTCATATTTTATACAGGTAGTAAGCATTAATAATGTCTTTCATCTTCGAGTGGATCTACAATGGCTTCAGCAGTGTGCTCCAGTTCCTAGGTAAAGCCATTTCCTTGAAATATAATAGGTTTCAAACTTTCTGCATTTCCTTCAGCAATTTATACAAACAGCGTTTGGTATGTAGAGAGCAAATTTATGTTAACAATTTTTTTCTTTTAGGACTCTACAAGAAATCTGGAAAACTTGTATTCTTGGGTTTGGACAATGCAGGCAAAACCACTCTTCTTCACATGCTCAAAGATGACAGATTGGGCCAACACGTTCCAACACTGCATCCGAGTAGGTTTGAAAATACCAGGTGACCGTTTGATATTTGAAGACCATTGTCAGGCTTCGAGGATGAATCCCTAGCTGATTTAGTTCTTGTGTTAACTGAAGTCCCAAAAGCCAACTCAGTTGAAAAAGTTCTGTATAGGACACACTCAGGTCACATAACTTATAGGTCTGAACCTTTGGAACTTTGTCGTCATGTTTTGTCACTGGTCCTGTAATAGGACACATCTCCCATATCTACTTCCAAGAAAGAGAAAAACACCTTGGAGAAAAACTTTTGGCTTTTAGAATAGTTTAAGGGCATTTTCACCCCTGTATTCTTTTCTATTTTTCTTGAGACGGAGTGTCACTATTGCCCAAGCTGGTCTCAAACTCCTGGGCTCAAGTGATCCTCCTGCCTCAGCCTTCTTAGTAGCTAGGACTGCAGGCGTGTATTGTCACGCCTGGCTTTTTGTATCCTTTACAAGGTGAAAGCTTCATTAAATTTTGCATTGTTATTAGCTTATGGTACTGGTATTTGGGCCTTGTTGGATTGAGAAATTTATTTATTTTTTTTAAACACTTTTTCAGCATCAGAAGAGCTGACAATTGCTGGAATGACTTTTACAACTTTTGATCTTGGTGGGCATGAGCAAGGTAAGAGACGACTCAGTGGAAGCATGGTATTGACTTGTGGTTCCTTTTGTGTGCGCCCCGCCTCCCTTTTTTAAAAAAGCAGTGTGTTATTTTTACCTTTTAAATTAATTGTTTTTAGGAATGAGGTCTTATAATACTTCAGTGAAGTTGTTTTATTCACTTAATATTTTTAAGTAATTTCAAACTTCTCAAAAATTGCATGAATAATACAGGGAACTCCACTCACATATACATTTTGCCCAGATTTGTTAGTCTCCTTCTCTCTATAATACATATTAATGTTTACTTTTTCTGAACCATTTGTGATTATATCATGCCCCTTTAACCCCTTAACACTTTAGTGCCTGTTTCCTAAGAACAAAGAATATTCCCTTGTGTAATCATAATAGTTATCCAGGACGTTTTATTTTTATTTACTTTATAGTGTATATTCTCTTTTTGGGGGCCGGTTGTCTCACTAATCTCTTTTATAGCAATTTTTCCCTCTTGAACAGGCCCAGCACAGTATCACATATCATATTTAGTTATCAAGCCCCTTTTGTACTTTTTTTTTTTTTTTTTTTTGAGACAGAGTTCCTTCTTCCCTCACGTGAGTGCCGTGGCGTCAGCCTAGCTCACAGCAACCTCAAACTCCTGGGCTCGAGTGATCCTTCTGCCTCAGCCTCCCGGGTAGCTGGGACTACAGGCATGCGCCACCATGCCCGGCTAATTTTTATATATATATCAGTTGGCCAATTAATTTCTATTTATAGTAGAGACGGGGTCTCGCTCTTGCTCAGGCTGGTTTTGAACTCCTGACCTTGAGCAATCCGCCCGCCTCGGCCTCCCAAGAGCTAGGATTACAGGCGTGAGCCACAGCGCCCGGCCTCCTTTTGTACTTTTTATTCAATGGAGTATAAGTATGTAGGAAATCAACTGAATATTTGTAAGTAATTTCAAACTTGTCAAAAGTTGCAAAAATAATACAGTGTCTACATGTGACCACTCTGATCTAAGTTGATATTTTATATACTCTACCCATTTGGGACAGTTGGTAGAACAGTTTCTTCTATCTTTTTGCTTTCCTCATAAGTGCTTTTTGCCTTACTTAGGTTATGTCTGTTTTGTTCCCAGATTCCTATCAGGTGTCTTGCATGTGTTTTAAGGACATACAAAATGGGCATCTTTATCTAATGGACACTTCATTTATATTTGGCAAGACTCTAGATGCAGAAGTAAAACATTTAAGGTGTAGGAATAAATATTCTGGGAAGATAGGGAAAAGAAACTATAGATACTGTCAGATTTGCTCATTTGTTATCAAATTGAGTTGAGAAGTCTCCTTTTGAAAAAATATATTAGGTTGAATCTAATATAGTTAAAAAAAAATATATATATATAGTTAAATAACTCAGTATAATATCCATGTTTATAATTAGTAGACAACTAAGAGTAATAGCCAGGCATGGTGCCTCATGCCTATAATCCCAGCACTTTGGGAGGCTAAGGTGGGAGGATTGCTTGACCCCAGGAGTTTGAGGCTGCAGTGGGCTATGATCGTACCACTGTACTCCAGCCTGGCTGACAGAGACCCTGCCTCTTAAAAAAAAAGGGGGGGGGCAGATGTGGTAGCTCATGCCTATAACCCTAGCACTTTGGGAGGCCCTGGTGGGAGGATCACTTGAGTCTAGGAGTTCAAGACTAGCCTGGGCAACATAGGGACACCCTGTTTCTACAAAAAATATAAAAATTAGCCAGGTGTAATAGCACGGGCCTTTAGTCCCAGCTACACAGGACTGCTTGGGAGGCTGAGGCAGGATGATCACTTGAGCCTAGGAGTTTGAGATTGCAGTGAGCTATGATGATGCCACTGTACTCCAGCCAGGGTGACAGAGCAAGTCCCTATTTCAAGAAAAAGAAAGTAAATAGAATATTGGGTCATTTCTAATGGTTCAGCCTAATAATTTTATAGTTTATTTCATTAACATATAATTACAGTTATTTTATTCACTTAATATTTATATCCTGAAATGTAGTGTGGTCATAATCATTTAAGATACCTATAAAGAAAAAAGATTGGAAGAAAATGTACCAAAACATTAACAGGGGGTGTGTTTTGATGGACTGATTATAAATTATTTGTTTGCTTTTTTCCTATAAGGAGCTTATATTATTTTCATTTGGGTAGGAATAAGTATATGGTATCTTTTCTGCTTCTTCCACAAAAGGATTTGTAACTACTTAGACATTTAAATTCAGAGTGAGATAAGACTGAACCAAGACCATCTGGAAAATGCAGAAGGAGTAGACACCAGATGGTTTTAGATACCTGAAACTGGGAGTTGTAGATTATTTAGTGTGATAAATTTAGCTTTCAGGTTTTGTTAAAGAAGGGAAATATCTTGCTGTGTATATTGTTTGGCTTTGTTTGACTGAGGAAAATTTACTTAACAAACATACTAATAACCCAGCCACCGTTTTACAGAAGTTACTAAAATACTGTACATCTGGAGGTTTCCTTTTTTTATTTGTATACCTTTAAAAATTTTAACTTATGAAACAGTAAAGGTTCAGTGTATCAAACTCAATCATACAGAAATATGGAAAGTGAAAGCTCCCCCAGCTCTCCATCCCAATTCCACTCCAGAGGTAACCATCATTAACTGATGAAGAGTTGCTTTCTTATTTATCACATTGCCAGGGCTAGAAATGAACGACTTAGAAATTATAATACAATTAAGGCACTGCTTCCCAACTTTTACCACTTTATGTCACAAATAAAATTAACATAAGGTATGCTGGGACAAATATGGGAGGCTGAGGCAGCTGGCCTGGAGACTTCAACCACTCCTCAGGCCTAGTTCCCCCTGAGGGCTGTGCCAAAATGTGTATTAGCACACCCACACACTCGTTGGTTAGAAACTAACTTGGGACTAAAGTAATATGGATAAGTAATTGTATCCTGATGTTTTAACTCAGAGGTTGCAAACTAAAATTGCTCCAGGGGCAAGCCAGTTCATTTAAGTGAGTAAAATTGGGTGTAAGACAGCAAGCGGAGAGTAGTAGAAATTTTGGCAAACTGAAGAGCTCAGACATCATCCAAATGGGCAGCCACAGTTCATTTTCAGCTGATTATTGGCATGTGTGTAAGCAGATATAGGATTGCCAAATGTTGCAATTTTTCAAGGAAGGCAGAAACTCTGATTTTCAGATTTACAAAAATCACATTCAGCTCATGGATCATCAGTTTGCATCCTCTGTTCTTACTTAATTATTGCTGGCCAGGACTCTGAGAAATCTTTGGGGAGTCTAATCTTATTGAAACCTGGCCAAAATTTGAGCATTAGGGTATTCATTTTTAAAATATATATATTTTAATTAGTACAACTACACATTTATTTGTCTTTTAGCTCGACGAGTTTGGAAAAATTATCTCCCAGCAATTAATGGGATTGTCTTTCTGGTGGACTGTGCTGATCATTCTCGCCTCATGGAATCCAAAGTTGAGCTTAATGTATGTTTATATATTTTCCCCTTTTTTGGCCTCTATTTGTTTTAAGGAATACAGCTCAATAGTGCCAGTACTTAATCATATTTAATATTTGGTGAAAAATCCTACTTGTAGGAAGAATATATTTTAAAATCTAAGACCTTGATTTTCAGTGTCCTGAGAAAATAAAGCTTGAAATTGAATAACTTTGTTATTTATATCATAGGGTAATGGTATGGCCTAGTTTGCTTAGGAAATTCCTCATTTATGCCTGTTGTCCCAGCGTAATAAATGGTGTTCCCTTTCATATATCATGTATAATCACTCTGTATAAGTAGTGTTGGCGTACTATTTATACTCTTTATGACTAGTAGTGAAACACTAAAAGATAGTAGAATTCTTTATATTTTTAAAATTTGTATAAATTTATGGGGTACCAGTACAATTTTGTTACATGTGTAGATTGTGCAGTGGTCAAATCGGGGCTTTAGGCTCTCCCTCACCTGAGTAGTATACACTGTACCCATTAAGTAATTTCTCATCAGCTACCTCTTTCCCATATCGTTCTTTACATTTCTGAATCTGCATTCTCAGGTTGTGCCTACCCATGCTCCCGCTGAATGACTTGCCAGACCTTCACAGTCTGTTCTCAGTCTTCGGTTTTGATCACATTCATTCTTTGATAATATCACTTCAAGTTTTCCCCTTTGTCAACATTGCATTTTCTTGACTTGATGGTTTCTGTAATACTACCTTTGTTACCCCTACTTCACCGTATATGTCTTCTTTCTGTTTGATTTGTCACTGCCTCCCTGTATTCTGGTTCGTGGCAATTTGAACCAGAGTCTCAGAGTTGTTTGTAAGTGTGTTTCTCACATCTATAGTTTTAATCTAATGTAGAATTGCCTGCCAGGTAGTCCTTATCTTACTTGATCTCTTGGCACTGGCCATTCTTTCTCTCTTTAAACTCCCTTATTTATTTATTTATTTTTATTTTATTTTATTTTTTTTTTTCGAGACAGAGTCTCACTTTGTTGCCTAGGCTAGAGTGAGTGCCGTGGCATCAGCCTAGCTCACAGCAACCTCAAACTCCTGGGCTCAAGCAATCCTCCTGCCTCAGCCTCCCTAGTAGCTGGGACTACAGGCATGCGCCACCATGCCCGGCTAATTTTTTGTATATATATTAGTTGGCCAATTAATTTCTTTCTATTTATAGTAGAGATGGGGTCTTGCTCTTGTTCAGGCTAGTTTCGAACTCCTGACCTTGAGCAATCCGCCCGCCTCGGCCTCCCAGAAAGCTAGGATTACAGGCGTGAGCCACCGCGCCTTTTTATACTCTTAATTTTGGTGCTATCTCTCTGGCTGATACTTCTCAGTCTTTTTACATGCACTTGTTCCTCTGCTTAGTCCTTAAATGTTGATGTTAATCAGGGTCCATATTTTCTCCCAATCTGGTCTCATTTACTCTCATTCCTTTATCTGGCACCTACCTATCAATAACTCTCAAATGGATTTCTCTCATCTAGACCCTTCCTGAGCTCCAGCCTCATACACGATACCGCCTATTAGATAGCTCCATGTATTGATTCTGTTTTCCTATAATGGAACTATTTATCTTCTCCTACCACCTATCTGGACATATAGTCCAGAAACTAATGAATTATTGTAGATTCCACCATAATCCTGATATGCATTGAATGCTGTAAAGAACTTTCTCAAATTTGTCATCGCCCTACTTAATATCCTTTGATAGTTCTCTTATCATTTTCAGAATAAAATCTACAAATCATTTGCATATCACATAAGATCTTCCATGATCCTCCCTTTGTTTATTTCTGTAGCTTCCTTTCTTTCTACTGTCTAGCTTGACCTATATTCCAAACAAAGAAAACAACTTGTACTTCCTTGAATATGCACAAGTAGCTATTCCTGCCTGGCTTTCTCACCTATACCCATCCTCAACCGCTTGCTGGTAATTTTTAAAATGTCCTTTAGAGACCTCAGAGTTGAGATGTTATCACTTCTAGGAAGGCTTTCCTGACCTCTCAGACTGCATTAGACATTCCACCTTATCGATGTCTATTGTCTTTAGTTATTTTCTTACAGATCTCTCCCACCAGTCTATGAACATGGTAGGGACCAATATGGTCAAAGCACATTCTCCTTTTATCCCTTCAACTCTGCTTTCCTTCCTAGCCCTTCTTTTGAAAGTGAGAATTAGATGCCCAGGCTTGAGTTCTGTGCCAGCTTTGATTCTTTGTCTTCATTATCATTTAGACACTGGTCTCTTTACTTCTTTCTTTAAAAAGCCTCCTGCACTATTCATTGAATGCTCTACCTTAGAATCTAACATCATCTCTTATATGAGCACCACAGATACTCTTGGAATTCATTATACTGCAAGTATAGATTTTATTCACTAACTTCTGGATTTGTGCTCTATATGATCTATTGCAGCTAGCCCCTCAGACTGATACTTTAATGTGGGTCATCCTTTCCCATCCCATTTACTTTGTCACTGCTCATCAATATAAATGCTTTAATCTAGCCACACAATACTCGTGTGGCTTCCTGAATTCTTATCTTACTGCAAAGCTGCTTATGATTTTCTTTTTCCTTTTCTCCTAAATGCTGCCCTCCCTTTTTAGGTTCTGGATCTTTGCTAAGACTTTTCTCAAGCCCCAAATTGCCATTTTATTTTCCTGAACTTGGTTTAATATTAATATTCTGTTGCCATTCATTGTGACACTGAATAATTCACTATGTTGTGTTCTTAATTTAGCTTTGTTAACATAAATATGAACATAGACAAAGGATTTCTTGAGGACAGGGGTGTATCTTACCCTTCCTTTTGTACCCTTCTCAGTGCCTGAGATAGTTCTTTGCACACATTGGGCACTCAGTGAATACCTGGGGACTTCCTTGTAGTCATCTTTGAGACTCTGTGGCCAGAGCTTTCATTTTTTAGAACTGTGCTCAATGGATATCCTTAGGGTAGTTTGTGAGTGAGTGAATTAGCTCAAAAGTTAAGGTTGGGCAGTTCAACTGCCTTGTAAATAGCCTTAAGTTTTAGTTATTTTGAGGCACTTAAGGGACTTTTATCCATTGTCAAGAGTGTTATATAATGTCAAGATGAACCTTTAATCACTCAGATATAAAGATCAGATTTTTACTTTACATTTAATGCCTTATAAGGATAGTGGAAGACAAAGTTCATTATCTGGTGGGCTTTTATAGATTCCTCACTTGACTCTTATTTTTTTATCGTGTCTTTAGGCTTTAATGACTGATGAAACAATATCCAATGTGCCAATCCTTATCTTGGGTAACAAAATTGACAGAACAGATGCAATCAGTGAAGAAAAACTCCGTGAGATATTTGGGCTTTATGGACAGACCACAGGAAAGGTAAGAGAAAAATCTTCAGGGGACATTCACAGCTTTTAAAACTTGATATTTTGCTGTCTAGATTCTCATTTTCTTTCAAAAGTTTAAACAGGCTTAGGATTTGTTTTACTCTGGGTATTTTGTAAGCTTGCTGAAGGCAGGAGCATATTCTATCTTTAACCATTTTCTAATTGGATTCATTCCTTAGGTATTTGAGGCAGAAGGAAATGGTACAAAAGGCAAACTTACTCCTTTAAGAATTTTCTAATTGTCTTTCAAATCTGATTCTGAGAAATCTCTTTTGAAAGAGCCCTTGTTAACCAGAAATGAGTTTTTTTTTTATTGGAGATTTTAGGTTATGAAGAAGAATAATCATTTATATCACTTTCCAAGCATTGAAATCAAAGCACTTGATTTTCCTCAGTGCTGCTACTGAGAGAGGTAGGAGTATTATTCCCATTTTGCAGGTGAGGAAACAGAGTGGTTTGTTCAGGTCTAAGAGCAAGTTTAGTGATAAAATCAGGAATAAAAGTCATCTTCCAGATGAGGTTATGCTGTCTTCAGTTAGAGGGAGGACTCTGTTGTAGAAAAGCAGGCTTATGAGAGAGAACAATCTAGATCAGATAAAATTAAGCAGGAATCATTCTGGTCTTTTCAGCTTGAGGTTTTGGCATATTTAATTTTTAAAAATCTTCCTGTTCTGTGATCTATGATAACTTTCTGACTTTTTTTACAGTTCCTTAATCTTGCCTCTTTTTAGTTATCTGTTTTAGTTCTCTTTTATTTATTTTTTAAAATTTTTTATTTTTATTTTATCTTTCTTCGTTTTTGTTTTTCAACCTCAAACCTTGTGTTCTATAGTTCTCTTTTAGTTCATTTAGTTTCTCCTCTTTTGCATGAATGTTTTTACACATGAATTCTTCTTTTTGAGACAGAGTCTCACTCTGTTGCCCTGGCTAGAGTGCCGTGGTGTCAGCCTAGCTCACAGCAACCTCAGTCTCCTGGGCTCAGGCGATCCTTCTGCCTCAGCCTCCCAAGTAGCTGGGACTACAGGCATGCGCCACCATGTCCAGCTAATTTTTTTCTATATGTTTTTAGTTGGCCAATTAATTTCTTTCTACTTTTAGTAGGGACAGGGTCTCGCTCTTGCTCAGGCTGGTTTCGAACTCCTGACCTTGAGCGATCCTCCCACCTCAGCCTTCCAGAGTGCTAGGGTTACAGGCGTGAGCCATCGCTCCCGGCCATACACATGAATTCTTAATTTCCTTGATGCCACCCATTACCAGTTCTAAACAGTCTCAGACTTCTTTTGTCCATCAAAGAGCATGCTGGTTCCATGGGTCCCAGTGGCTTTTTCTTGGTTTGCTGCCATAACTCTCCAGATGAATGTTGGGTGTTCGAAGAAACTGCTCTTCAGAGAGAGAGAGGGAGAGAGGCAGGCTGGGAATAGAACTGTGCTGCTTATTCTATCCTGGACGTAAGAAACGCTGAGGAAGTCTTCTGTATGGCCTTGACCACATTTCTATAATTAATACTTACTTAGATTTGCTTTTAAGGAATGATTGTGGTAATCACCCTTTTAAGCTTTTCCACTAACAGGAAGATGCTAACAGGTCTTTCTTGGTTTTGCCTCCATTAGGGGAACGTGACCCTGAAGGAGCTGAATGCCCGCCCCATGGAAGTGTTCATGTGTAGTGTGCTCAAGAGGCAAGGCTACGGCGAGGGTTTCCGCTGGCTCTCCCAGTACATTGACTGATGTATGGACAGTGAAAATAATAGAGCTTTACTTCTCTGGACTGATCCTATTCACAGCTTCCTCATGAACTTTTCTAATAGAACAAGGAAAGCTCTCCAACCAAGTCTGGCGTTGAGAAGCCAAGAGTCTTTGTCAACTCTCTCATCACCCAGTGGTGACATGTGCTCTTCTCCACACTGTTGGGAGGTAACGCTGCCCCATGTGCTGGTGCAGGTCAGGATCCCGGGACTTGGAAACTGGCAGAATTTGCCGGGTAAAACTGTGTGCCATCATGGGGCACCTGAAAAGAAAAACACGTCTCACCACTGTGGTTGATTTCAAAGAAAGTGATTCTATTTTTTAAAGAAAGTGTTGTTAATGTAATTGGTATCCCTCTTAATTTTTGAGTTCACAATTTACTTGGTCCAGAGTTTTCTATTCTTTTTTTTTTTTTTTAAACTAATGAGTGGTATTTAGATACTTCATAAATTTATGAACAGATACACATTGGAGGCCAAGGCTCAGGTGGGTGAACTTAACTCCTGCTGAGTTAGCAGGTTGGGAGAGAAGCTCCCCTGTGCTCACATGTCTCTATGACTGCCTTGTAGTAGGTGATATCACCTTGTGCACAGAGAACTAAAAAAGGGCAGAACCCTGGCCTTGCAGTTACAAGTTCCCACTGTGGTAAGCTCATCACAGAATGTGTAGTAGATTGTTCACTGTGGAGGGGTTAATTACAGAGGGAGTTATTGTTATTTTTACTTATAAAGTTATAAATTTCAGCCAGTCTTTGCTTTTATACTGTTGTGAAATTTCATTTCTCTATAGCACCTTCTTTTTTCATTTTGAGTTATAAAAAGTGACTTTCACCTCATGAAAGAGTTGAGACCATCTCTCATGTTGTCACATACTGCAGGTGTGTCTCAGTTACTTTTTTGCACAGATTCTAGGGGGAATTTTTGTGAATAGGAGGACAAAGTTAACAGCTTTAAGGGCTCTTAATTCTGTGAGTTGAGGACTTAAAATTGGTTATTGTAGTACTTGTTTGAATTTAGGAAAGATGTACTTGGTGGGCTATAAAATTTCCACTTGCAGAATTTAGTCTTGATTTGGCTGTTCGTGAACTCTTTTTCTTAAATCTTTTCTCTTTATCAGCTATCTGTTTCATTCATTGATGTTTAAAGTAAGAGTTAACATCTGTAGCTTTTCCAGATTTGGGAGGGGAGGGTATAAAATTGCCTTTCTCCATTTTAGAAATAAGTTGGGAAAAACATTAACTCAAAAACTGCCTGTAGAACTGTTCCTTTGAAGGCAGCATCATTTATTGTCAGTGAACACCCAGTGTGAAAGCTTCAGCATCTACACTAGGGTGATGATGATTATTTTTTATAGCTTTCCATTTTCTTAGTGCCATGTGTGAAATTGGATTTTCATGATCTTAATCTATAGTCTACCCTTGTAGTAAAAGATGAGAAGATAGGAGATGGTCTTAACATGAGAAGATAGCTTTATTCCTTTTTCCTTTAATAAAAGATTAGAGGTAGTTTCCTCAAAATTGAAAATTGTAATGATGCTTATTTGTGGAGGATGGAACTAAATTCAGTGGATTCCTTTTTAATGTGAGGTAGGGAAACTGTGGATAACATTACTGGGATGAGAGAGTGTCATTCTTTAGTTGGATTTCTCATTCTTAGTCTTTAGTACTGACCTGTTGGGAAAGCATAGTTTTTCACTGCCAGGTCCTGAATGCAGAGCCTCAATGACATATGTCTGGGAAATGCATGCATTTCATTTATTAGCAAGCATAGCTGGGATTAAGACAAAATTATTGATTTGGAAAGGTGTTAAAGCCTTAAGTGAACAAATCTAGCTAACCGTGACTGAACTAGGTAGGTAGTTAACTTGCATACCTTTTTATTTCCTCTGGTTAAAGGTTACTGATACTTCTCTGTTCAGAGACATGAGAAGTATGATTGCTTCAGTGTTAGTTTTCTTTCTTTTGTTTTTTCCCCTATTTTTTCCTAATCACTTTGTTGCAAGCTAGAAAACTATGGGTTCTACATAGGGCAGCTCTTGTGAAAGTGGTTTATTCCACTGGAGAAAGAGGGGATTGAAAAGTCAGTTAGCATTAGTCTATTTCTTGTCCCATAGAACACCATTCTTATAATAAGATAGCTGAGAGAAGCTGCTGTGAGGAGCTTAGCTCCAAACACAGGATCAGAGCCTTGTATGGGAACTCCTATGAGTTGAGACTTTTCATTCTGTTTTATCAGAGTGCATATATGTCCTATTTCAGGAAGAGCAAAACAGTCTTTACAAAAGAAAGTCAATCTGTATTCTAAGCATTTTAATAAAAAGTTAAAACAGACTTGCTGTTTTCTTTCTTTTTTGCATTGGTTCTGAGTTCTGAGTTTGAACAACACCATTTGTTTGGGGTTGGGGACAGGGGGGAGGCAGGGAGACAAAAATTCCTCCCTACATATATGAAGAAACTTTGAGGGTGGATATGAGATACTTGAATTTTGCCACCAGAGGGCAAAAATGGCTGGGCCATTAGAAGTAATTAATTTAGTACTGTTTGAGAGCCTTGGAACATGCTATGGACCCAGGGTTGTTGATCATCTCTGCAACAGGGTAACATGCTTACAAGGATTGAGTATAGTTTAGCTGTGTTTCATGCATTAATACAAAAGTAGAATCAATTGAACTCTACATTTGGTAAAATAGGGAAAGGAATCTGTTCTTGTGCGTTTACTAGGCTTTTAGGAACACTTGCTTTTAGAAAACCCCAAATGAGATCCCCAAACTAAAATACTGGGACAAATAAAATGGGCACCAAAATGCAACAGGTTCTTTTTAACCAAGAATTAAATTGTTGGAGGTGTCCTGTCCCTGTTAATGTGTAGGGATGCCATGGATTCTACAGGTAAATGGGTTTGTTTTGTTTCAGGCAAAGTGGAACATGAGGATTAAAGTCTGAGTCAATGAGCCTAGCACTCAAGGGGTCTCACTGGCTGTGACTTGGGACTTCTGTACTGTGGTCTGCTGTAAATACAGAAAAACCTGATGCATAACAGTTCATGCTGGAGCCTTGAGCGTCATTAAGGGAAAATCATTGGGCTCTAGAGAGGAATGAAAGTTTTAATTGCTAAGAATTGGAACAGTCAATAGATAATTGCTGTGATCAAGCCATCTTCTGTGTCACAGAACCAAAAGAAGACAGTGCCTACTATGGCGAGACTGCTTAATTTCAGTCCTGCCTCATACTATGATGGATAATCATTTCCCTTTCTCAAACAGGTTTGTGTCACTGGGAGCCCTGGGAGCATTGTCCATGTTTTGTGCTGGGGCTACACCACACAACCTTAATTCAAAGAATTCAGGCAGAAAGATCATGGCATTTAAGTAGCAGTTGAATATTTTTTCATTAATACTAACAGGTATGTACTATACTGATCTTAATAAAAGTTAACGTATTTTAGTGATAGTTATAAAGCAGACCTTTGTAAAATGTCTAGCTTGTGGTGACTGCTTTGGGGTATCATGAAAGCCTCCCAACCATAGCATACTTGTTCATTCTCTGTCCTAAAGGATACTTTGGAAACGTCGAGAAAGCTTTATGTTAGCCTAAATTATATATGGCAAACTATGGCTTAAGGGCCAAATCTGGCCTGCTGCCTGTGTCTTGTATGGCCTGTGAGATAAAAGGTTTTTACAACTTTTAAACGCTTGAAACAAATTAAATGAAAAATGATATTTTTGGCACACGAAAATTAAATTTGAATGTCTATAAAGTTTTTTTTGAACACAGCCACTGCCATTCCTTTAGTTTTTCCATGCAACAACTGCAGACTCTTTGAAACAGAGATTGTATGGCTCCCAAAACTTGAACTATTTCCATCCTGGTCAGGGCTGTACGATTAAAATTTTTGACTTCAGCTACTGTTCATCATAGTCAATTTAAAGGACAGTTTAATTTAGTGCAAATCCAGTTTCCATGAGATTTATCTTGTTGGGGCTTGGGCAGCAAAGAGTCCTGGGAATAATCCTGAGAGCTCCACGCCCCCTAGTGGATTGCTGTGGGATTTACTTTCAAAATTTCAAAACACTGAATCGGCCTAGGATTTCCTTGGTCCGTATTATCCTAGGGGTCAGAGGCTAAAGGTCGCCTAGACCTGGGCAAATGCTGACAGGTCCCGTCACGGCCTGGGCAAGTCTGGCCACGTCAGCGCTCATTTCTATTCCCTTTCCAGCAGCGCAACAAGCCGGAGAGACTGGGCAGGGACGGACCCGCCCTCCTCTCCCGCGATCCCCGGAGCCGCCGCACGCGGGTCACACAGCCGGGGCTCATCCCGGGGGCTGCCTGCTCCGCCTGCGTCCCTCAGGTGCGACGAACCGAAGGGGCGGAGGAAGCAGGCAGCATCAGCAGCCAATCAGGGTTCGGCACAAGCCCAGCCAATCGGGTCCGTTGGGGCTTAGCCAATCGGCTCGACGAGGAAGGCCTGAGTCGGGCCTGCGCCTCCCGTTTCCAGCGGTGGGAGGCGCTGCGCGGGTTCATCTGGGGCCTGCGGGGCGGCCGGCCCTCGCTCGCTCCCTCGCGGGCAAGCCGCAGGTGTCCCGTCCCGGAGGCCATGGGGCGGCAGTGGGGGCCCGCGATGAGGGCGGCCGAGCAGACGGGCTGCGTGGTGAGCGCCTCCCGAGCCGGCCAGCCTGAGGCGGGCTCGTGGAGCTGCAGCGGGGTGATCCTGAGCCGCAGCCCGGGCCTGGTGCTGTGCCACGGGGGCATCGTCGCCCCTTTCCTGCGGGCCGGCAGCGGGGCCCTGACCGCGGCTGGCGCTGCCTACCTGCCCGGCGACAGTTGCAGCGACGACCTGCGCCTGCACGTGCAGTGGGGGCCAACGGCCGCCAGTCCCGCCGGCCGCTCGGAGCGGGGCCTCCCGGGGCTGTGCACGCCCCAGTGCGCCGGCCTCGAGCTGGGCCCGCCTGCCCGGCCCCGCGGGCGGCCCCTGCAGCCCCCGCGCCCCGCCGAGCTGGTGCTGCTGCTGAGCTGCCCGGCCTTCCGGGCCCACTTCGCGCGCCTCTTCGGGGGCGCGGCGGCCGAGCAGTGGCGCTTCGCGAGCGCGGCGCCGGACGACGAGGTGTCGGAGGACGAGGAGGAGGATCAGCTGAGAGCGCTGGGCTGGTTCGCGCTGCTGCGCGTGCGGCCCGGCCGGGAGGCGGCGGCGGAGGAGCGCGGGCCGGCAGTGGCCGTGGCGCCGTTCGGGGCGGTGCCCAAGGGGTCACCGCTGCTGGCCTGCGGCTCCCCGTTCGGGGCCTTCTGCCCGGACATCTTCCTCAACACGCTCAGCCGCGGCGTGCTCAGCAACGCGGCCGGCCCGCTGCTG